TACATATGGCTATTATTCAGCCAACAATAATCACCAATACAGGTGGTAAAGATAGGATTAACAAAAGATATGATTATTCCAGAAGAGATAGAAAAACAAAATGAGATACCAAAAGTAGAAATACCTAATTTTTATGCAAATAAAAGAATAATTGGTATAGCTACGATTATACAAGAGCTAGCAAACAATTATTTAAATGGCAATGCTATTTGGAGCTATTATGTTCTAATTTATTTCCTTAGTGACAAATTCGTACAACCATTAAGATGGAAACAGCCATAAGACCCAACTATATACTCTTTCTGACGAGTTACACATTACAGGTTCACATGAAAATGCACCTGTTTAACTTACACAAAACGTAAGATTAACGGAATCATCAAATGAAACTAACCTTTGAAGCTTGGTCCGACCCTCTAGATGGAAGATTTTCGATAGGTAACCTGCTCCAGATTTGGCTTTCCTTTTGATTTGCTTCAGCCAAAATCTTCTTCTCAAGGTCAAAATCAAACTGAAATGTGCATTGAGGAACGTCTCCTTGTGGAACCAATGGAGGCTATAAGAACGAAAATTGCACAAAAAACTGTGTCAGGTCCAAATATGTTGTTCAAATTCCTCATTAATCAACCAATTATTACTACATTGCGATTCGCGATCAGAAACTAGTTTGGAAGGTACATGCAAGGAAAATACTTCTGCAGACTATTTCAATATGTGCATGACATGTTACATCTGTATTCTAACTTCTATACAACGAAATATAGAAAAGGTCAATTTTAGAGGCGTTAATAAAACAAAAATCACAGGTTTCATACCGGAGGTGTAATTTGAAATTCTGGTATTATAGCAATTCTGATACCGATTTCGGCTGCAAAATTTGATATCAACAAATCAATATTAGAGCCATCGAAACAGATATTGGCTCTCAAATACACATATTTTATTCATATAGTTTTAGTGGGGGAACATTCAAAGAGGTAAGACATACTAGTGGACGATGGTGAAGGAGTGGGGTTAAAACGCCCGGGAAAATTGTCGCCGGAGTGTTAACCAACCCGAGGGTAAAGGCTAGATGGTTTACCGGAGGCTTGACCGTACATCGGACTGTGATGGATGGTAAGGGGAAGAGCAGTGGTGGCCGGCCGGCTGTACATGGGCGATTGCGTACTGTAAGACGGTTCCATTTTGTTCCTCAAACCGTATGCCATAGAAGGAAATTTGAGTGCAGCTTTTTGAATTCTAAAAGGGGGACTCTTTCAATTACTTAAATTGCATGGCATCATGCTAAGTTAAAGGAAAAATAGTTGCTACATTGACCTACTAACAAATATTTATAATCTGACCCTATTATGCTGAAAAAAATCATATATGTCCTAACATTTATCCATTGACATACATTCCTTTTTTTCTAAAAGATATATTTGTCTTTATTATTTAACGCAATTATTAAAGAAATAATATTTTCACTTCGATGATTTTATATTTACCGTATTGTCTAACCGTAGCGTTATTATCTATTGTAGTTATATTATGAAAATTCTTTGATTAATTTTATATCTTTTTTATATTCTCCAATCAAAATAGTTTGAAAATAAATGATTTTCGTTTATCATCGTTCACTTTAAATTGGTTATCTATACTACACTTACACCATTCTAATGTTAAAAGAAAATCATATATTTTCTATAACGAAAATTCTACCCATATAAAACTTCATGTAACTAAACATGTTTAAGATATTTTTAAAGCAAAAAAATCGAATAATTAAGATCTCTATATAATAAATATTCCATTTTTTCATCATATAGCCAAAAATAAGAAAATATTCACACGAATCAATGAAATAATAATGCAATGTGAAATATTAAACAACAAATATCTAAAGGTAAGGAGATGTTGATTAAAATGACACATTGCTTGTTGTGGTTTTTATATTCTCAATGTGTTTATTAAGTGCATTATCAAAGAATATAGCCATTGTTCCTACCTATCCGACTGTCAAAGTTAAATCTTTTTTTATTTTATATTTATGTTTTGAATTCACAAAGTTGAGAAAAAAAACAATATCATTTTAATGACAATTAAAAATAGTATTATAAATGTGTTGGGACCACTTTATATTTGTTGTTTCATAGAACACCCATGTTTCTATATTAATTGATAAACTAATCATATATGAATGGGAAAATGCATAAGTACCCCCTCAACATATACATGAAATCTCAGAGACACACTTATACTATACTAAAGTTCTATTACCCTTCTAAACTTATTTTATAAATAATTTTCTACCTCTTTTTGGCCTACGTGACCCTATCTTGTGGGCCCAGCACGTGTTGACATTTTTTTTCAAGCTAGGGTCAAGTAGGTCGAAAAAGAGTAGAAAATTATTTATATAATAAGTTCAGGGGGATAACCGGACTTTAGTTTAGTATAAGCATGTCTCTGATATTTCGAACAAAAGTTGAGGGGATACTTATGCCTTTTCCCTAGATGAAAAGGTGAAATTTTGTTATACATAAGTAGTATAATTAATATTGAATCGATTGAATCACAAAGATATATTCATTTATATAGAAGAAGAATCGAAAAAGAAGCGGAAGGTTCATGTAGCAATAGAAGAGTCAGTCGCCTCTTATGAAGTTTGAGCTTTCAAGATCTAATCGTAGCCAAAGTTTTTTTTTCAGGTTTAGAAGGACTGGTTCGAAAGGACCATGAAATATCAATTGTTCACTCATCTTCAAGGACATAGAGAATTTCTCACTGACTGGCTTTTCTGAGCATTGCAAAATTCACCGTATCGAATGAAGATGCGGAAAAAAACTGATTTAGACTTTAGTGCAATAAATTTTATGTATTTAACTATGTGGGATAAATAATTTTATAAAAGAAATGAATGAGAAAATGCGAAGAAAGTAAATAAACGTCATTAAAAAAAGGTGTTACATCATTTTGACTTAAAAAAATAGAGGGAGAAAAGTTAAAGATGTCGTACAACTTAAGAATAAAAGATTAAAAAAAATAGAGGGAGAAAAGTTAAAGATGTCGTACAACTTAAGAATAAAAGAACAATATGAAGAGGAAGACAAGAAGAATATAATATAAGAGGAACAATATACGATAACTTTCTTTCTTTCAAGTGTTATCGTCTACAATATGAACTTTTATATCTCTATTTATAGGGTAATGTATATGCATACAAAAGGTTAGTCATAAATGATATTATATTAACATAAATATAATGGAAGAAGTTATGGAGGTGAAATGTTATAAGAATTATGATCATAAATTTAGAGGTTATCTTCATGATGGAGGAAAGTAATAAAGATAATTAGTCATAATAACTTCTTGGTGTAGTGGACATTCATATCATAATATTTTATAACAAAAGAGATTAAATTAATACCGTAATAATTTTATCATAAGACTCTACGTTATTTTCTTCTGAATTTATTCCACTCTCTCTGTTATTATTTTTTGATCTTCCTCAAGTTTCTCCATTATCCCTACAAGCACAAATTATCAAAAAAATTAGTTATTTTAAAGAGTTTGTATGATTTTATTTCAACCTTAAACACCTAAAATAATATTTTGTAACATTTATTTTACAAAAAAAAATACAATTTAAGTAATCATAACTTGATTTAATTTGATGCTGAAATTTTATAGATTCTTGAGTTCATCTAAATAATTGACAAAATTATAAATGCAAAAGAAATCTAATAATCCATATCAATAACAAAAAATGGAAATTTTCACACTATAGTAAGAAAAGAACATCTGAATTTGAGATCAAAATAATTATTAAATAGAAAAATTTAAAAAGTTAGTAGACTTGTTTTCCGACGTTCCAATTATTAAAAATATCAAAAGATAAATTGAAGCTATCATCATTTATAATGGATGTTGGACAAAATAAATATGGCAATTTTTACCTCTTTAGGCTTTCTTGATCTTTTCATTTATGTTGTTATCAATGTTGTAAAGTATAATATAAAAAAAATTAAATTCAACTTATATATAACAACATTGATGAAAGGTTCACTCATAAATAAGTGAATCGATTAATATCACACTTTTCACTCATAAAATTAGGAAGAAAATAAATCTTACTAAGATAAGCACCTAAGACATTAGGCATAAGGCACAAGTATCTCTAGACTATAACCGAAATCTCAGAGATACACCTTAACTAAACTAAGATTTTATTACTTCCTTAACTTATTTTAATCTGATAATTTTAAAACTAATACTTTTTGAGTATTTTATTTTAAACAGTTCAAAATACATATTTTGTCATTTCAATGCAATTTGTAGATAATCATCATTTTTCTCAAAGTATTAGAATTTTTATCGATTGTTATGTTATATTATTTTTTCACAATCGGACCTTCAAATGTTTGTTATTGTTTTTATAAAATCATTATTTTTGTTAAATTACATTTTTTTACATGTTATTGTTACATTTATACAATTTTACATTGTTAATATGCACTTTGATATTCTACGTAGTCAATAAATCCATTCAAATACAAATATAATTTGTATACACAGATATTTTATCAACCAATAATTGTTGGGACAATCTCAAACCCATAACTTGGCCCATTTTGATACCAATTCCTATATAAAGAAAGGTTTGTTCATTCGATTAAAGGTGGTGGAAAGATTTTAGAGGTATTTTTTCAATTTTTATTTTATTGTTCATTATTTTTCGATGACAAGTTTCACGTGAGTTTCACCGGAATCCGCCAAGTCCACCACCCAAATGACCCTAGTTTCTCTAACAGGTTCCTTTCTCCATTTTTTCTGATCGAAAGCTTTCCCACCGCGAAAGCAGACCACAACCTCTATCTCCTTGACCACTCCAAGCGAGATACCTCTTTGTTCTCCCTCACAAAAATCAGAAATCAAACAAACCCCAAACTAGACCCTTTCCATTTCAAAAGAACACTTCTATTTTTTTAGACCACCACCAAATCACACGTTTCACTCTTCGACTAGACCCAAAAACCCCGACCCCGAACCACCAAAGACCACTCGAACTCAACCCCAAATTCACCAGAAAATGGTCAGTCCCATACCCCTTTCCCTCAACATTTTACATGTATTTTGGCTCAAAGTCGAGCACCGAAGAACAGCGAATAAACAAAAAATCAAACCCATCACACCAGCAAGCTCGATGCTCAAGGAATCAGGCCATTTTTTTTATGCGAACCTACGCCAGCTTCAATCCAACATCTCTACAAAACAATTTCGGTGAAGCTCAAAGCATCAGCCGTTTTCAACAATAGCAATAATCGAAAATCACCGGCGTGACTCCAACTCCGGTAACATCTTTCACTTTGTTTTTCTTTTTAGATCTAGCTGGAGGGGCTCAAATTCCTGTCACCATTATTTTTAATTGTGTTCATGTTTAAGTTATTGACTATGTATTGATATGGTCTTTGTCGTTGATTTTCTCTTATTTAATACTTACTATTTTGGGGTTTGTATGTTAATTTTAAGCATTTTTTCTATCATTTTGAGTATAGTTTACTCCGTTATGTCGTTATCATAGTTTTTGTGAGTTATTCCAATTTACTTCTAGTTTTATGTTTATGTTGTTATTTTTTACTAACTTTTGGTGTTAATATTAGTTGGCTATTTTTCTTTTACCTTATTTTTGTTTGTTAATATTAGTTGGTTATGACTATATTATTTTCTTGTTGTATTTTCATATATTCATCCGGGTTTATTTTTTCAGCTTTCAATTATTTTTAATTATGCCTAAATATATTTTCACATGTTACTATTTTGAGGTTTGTATTGTTTTAGAAGGTTTACTGATTTTTTTTATTTTATTATTAAGTTGTTGTTAAGTTGTTGCATAGTAAATGCTAGTTATTTTTTGTCTTTCCGCTAATTAAATATTAATGGCTATGAGTTTCTCATGTTGTTTAGTTCATCTTTTTTATTCTTGGAAAATGATGATTATTTTTTTTTGACATTTCTTTCATTGTTATAATTTATTTTATTGTTGGTTGCTTCATTTCACATGTAGATTATTATTTTCAATTAAGAACATCATTATTGATATATTGACACGGTGCATTTTTTTAAAATTATAACATGTTCACATTTATAAATTTACTTACTTTAAGTTGGCCAATGAAAAAGCTTTCCGTCGATTTGAAGGTCTCCC